TCACCCGGAGACTTGCCGTAACTTTCCTGGCCGTGAACTTCTCGTGCCACTGTTCGGCAGTCAGCTTCATCAGGTCGTAGACCCCCTCCTGCATCACGTCCATGAACAGCATGAAGTTTGTATCTATGCGGATGCGGGCCAGTTCTTCTTCGTGCCGGGTCACCATCTTGACAACTACCTGTAGTAGGTGTTGTGTTGCCAGGTCTGGCAGTTTCCCGCCACCCCGGCTGGCCGCTTCCGCCCAGGGATCCTCCTGGCTGCCTCGAGCCTTGTTCCCCCACCAGCTTTGACCCGAGTAGGAGGTCTGGGTCTCCCTCCAGCCCTTGCCACCCTGGGCCCCTTTGTTCTGCCCCCTCGGGAACTTCGGCGCCGGCTGCATGTCCTTGTCGTCCTCTGTCTCCCGTTCCGACTTCTTGGCTGTTCCGGACCCTCCAAAGGAGAAGGGTGTTGCTGTGCCCAGCACCTCGCGAAGCTGGGCCTGAGCCGCCCTGGACTGATCCAACTCCATCTCCTCCACTCCAGCCATGCTGGTCCTGGCGAACGATGGCTTCTGCAAGTGACGCCTGAAATATGGCACTACAGCGCTTGTGATGCATGCGGATGTCCTTGACCTGGGTGCCACAGTAGGCACACGGAGTTGCTACGGATAAGGTAAGGCTGGAGCACCTAGAGGCCGCGTAATCCTTAAGTGGCCATACATCAGGATGCATCAATCTGACATGCTGCTTCACGCCCGGACCTAGCATGGACACCCACTGCCCGCACACAACACAGTATGTGCGCAGGGCTTGGCCGTACTGTGGATGCTGAAGCACTTGTCTCCAATTTTGAAGCAGCAGTCGGCGGAAATCAGGTGTTTGGATCAACGACGTGTCCCTCTGCACGTCTGGAGAGGCCCGGCACGAATGCCCCTGCGGCCTCTCGACTACAGAAGGTTACCTGCCTTCCACGGTCTGTGCAGATCGGCCGTTGCTGTGGCCATGCAGAACAATGCAGGATTTACGTATGTGTTTACGGAAACCCTCAACGCGAGTGAACTTCTTTCCACATTGTCTGCAATGTGGCATGCCATCCAACATATGCTGATTCCAGCGAGGATTGGTCGGACGGGCTGAGCAGTGTTCGGTGCCATGTGCTCTGCGCATGTGTTTCCTAACCTGGCCCATACTGGTAAAGTACTGCCCACACCGGTCACAAGCAACAGCACGCGTGCAGGTAGCGGCATGCAGTCCACCCGTGTCACCTGATGAGCTAACCTCAGCACTATGTAACCAGGACCATTGGTCTAAGAACCATTTCCTGCTTTCTAGAACGCCGACCTCTATTCTGATACAGCTTGACAAGCATGTGGTGGACTGAGCGAAGGCCAAGGCGCGCACGCAGAGTCTGACTCCGCTCGTGCCAGAGGTGAGCGGGGCTTCTGGCTATACCCCGCAGGTTCTTCGCATCTTGAGCTTCCAATTTGCGGAGAACGCCAAACGTAACCCCCACTGCATGTTGACCATACAGGAACGAACTTCTGACGCAAGCTTGATAGAGAATGGCCCTCTGTCTGACCCGAAGCCCTGCACTATGAAGAACTCGCAAAAGTCTGTGCCGGACCTGCGCTCCGGCCCGCAACCGATGTTTGCACGTCTGCATCTCGAAACTACCAAGGGAGGCCACTACACCTAGATAGGTGAAGTGACTAACTCGTGGGAGATAAATCGGATGAGAAGGCGTGCCCACGCTAACGGTAAAGCCCTCCTTTGCACGATGCAGATGTGCTTTCAGCCAACGTTTGCCAGTGGCTCCCTGCAATTGTATGATCAGCTGTGATTTTGCCGCGTTGACCTGCATCCCTGTGGATGTAAGGAGATCAAATGTAGCTCTGATGCACCTACACATATGGTCAAGATCGGCCGTGCTGTTGATGATCCATTGCAGCAAGGAGTCATCTGCATACAGAGTAATAAACTCATCGGCCCATTCCTGCCCCACACGGGAGCACAGCTCATCATACAACCACCCCGTGAAGATGGCAAACAACAATGGCGACAGCGAGCACCCTTGACGGATGCCGCGCTGCATCGGAAATTGCCGTTCCTGCTCTCCTACTTTGATGCGATACAGGCAATCCTGATGGATGTCAAGAATGAGATCATGCAAATCTGCAGGAACTGAAGCGCGATGCAGCGAAGCTGACAGGGCCCAACGCGGCACCATGTCGAACGCGCGGCTCACGTCAATTGATAAAAGGGCTCCTCCTCTGCATTGGTGAGCATCNNTGAACCGACCTAACACCACTACGCAGGAGGTCTCTAACACGCGAGCATCTACGAAAGACCCGACTAATTGCCTGATCAATCGACCTGCCCTCGACGTAAGCAAACTGCGGCTTGGACATCAGGTAGGGCCGTACTATCTCCATCAGCCGTCCCTTGATCATTGTGGCCAGTAGCTTGCTTGAGGGGTCCTGGAGACCTAGTGGCCTGAGGTCCTGGGGTCGGCGGGAGGGCTTACCGGGTTTAGGAAGAAGGGACAGGGCACAGTCTGTCATGTCACTAGGCAGACGGCTGGTGGCGCCCCTGTGCGCACCAAAGAGCTGCAGGAAATAGGTCGTGAAAGTCCCTGGCGTGAGTTGCCAGATCTCTGCCATCACGCTGGTTTCCGGAACAGCTTTCCTAACTTTCAGTTCCTGGATAGCATGCAGGACCTCCTGCCGGGTGAACCTCGGATCAGCGCAAGAGCTATGGTAGCTGTCATACGGTTGGGCCGAGAAAGCGTCTGCGAAGTAGCTATGCACTTCCTGAAGTTGCTGTTCTTTGGAAAGCAGCTGCCCCTGAGGGCCCCGGATACGCACTACCTCACGGCGTCGTTTGGGGGCAATGGCTTGCACCACAGCGTAAACAGCCCGATAGTCATGTTTATTAGCTGCTTGCTGCGCACACTGGATCTGGTCGTGCAACCACTGCCGCCTTGCGAATCGGCTCGCCCGTCGCAGAGCCCTCCACGATCTCAAAAACTTGGTGTACCTCTTCCATGCCTCTACAACCTGCCTCAGGTTCCTACGGGGACCATGTCTAGGAACACGACGCATTGCACTATGCCACTGCCACATTTCCCTGATGCGATGAATAACCAGCTCATGCTCACCTGCTCGTGCGCGTCTTCTGCGGCGGGCAGGAAAATGTTGCCGGCACTTGGCCAGCAGCTGCGCATTGAGCTGTGGCAGCGTGAGGTGGCCCACGGCCAGTTGGACAATATGCTCTACTTCTGTTTTAAAGGCAGTTGCCCCTGCATCCCCCTTGGCAAGTGTTTCCTGCATAGCGGTGCGATCATATCTAGGGGTCAGGCGCTTACTCCTACTGAGCCACCAGCCAGCAACCCAAGGTATGTTGGCCTGAACCGGTCTATGCCGTGGACCATGACGCCACGGAGCAAGATTCAGTTCGATGGGCTTGGCCCGACGTGATTCCTGATCAGCTGCATTCCTGCGCGTGAGCAGAAAATCNNTCCACCTGGGAGGATTGCTGTCCATTAAGGAAAGTGGCGCTAGTCGATGGCCGCGCCTGCCCCCATGTATTCAGTGCACATAATCTGTGTGTTTGCAGAAGTGCAATGAGATCAGCATCGTAGTTGGAACCTCCATGCCTATGAACACCATTGCCGACTAGCCCACGCTCAGGAAGCAAAGCAGCATTGAAATCCCCTCCTACCACCAGCAGGTTACGCGCTGGAACTGCATGCAACGCCCGACTCAGCGCATTCCAGACCTGGGTCCTTTGCGCATCGCGCTGCTCCGGATAGGCCGCATTACGAACCCACTGATAAACACAGAACACCTCAATGCTGGCTTTCGTTCCCTCGCATCTTATCTGAAGAACCCGTCCCGAAGCCCACGAACAAAACGAGATGTTATCAGGCTCAGCCACTCGATGAGATATGATGGCCGCGACCCCACTGTGTCGGTTCCGCGCGTCAGGTGCCACCACAAAGGACCACCCTGGTATGCTCCACGTGGACTCTTCGCGTCCTAGGCCGTGATGAATTTCCTGTAACAGAATGATGTCCGCCTCCTGTTGCTGTCCAATCCATCTGCAGAGCAGGTCATACAGCTCGGCTGTAACCCCGCCGACGTTGTAGGAGAGCACCCGTAGGCGGCGGGCTGCATGCTGTGTTCTCAACTTATCCTGACGCAGAGGTGGAGGAGGCACAGCAGTTGAGCCTGGAAGCGAGCCCTGTCTCCGGCCCTGCAAATCACGCAGGGTACACCACTGACCCCTGTATCTTGTGCCTCCGGCGGCTGCCGCCCTTCGGCATGCCCGAGCATATGCCCGTTTCTTGATCCAGTCAAAATG